CTCTTCGCCACTTCGCCATGGCTGCCGTTTGGGAGGTTGTGGGTGGAGCCGACAAGGGTGGCATCCTCGTCCGTGAAAGCTCGGACCTGTCCTCCGCCATTTTGGACAGCCGCTTGGCGACGGGTGCCAAAGTGAAGGAAGTTCAGTGGCAAGATGGCCGCCTGGGCTACGAACTCGTCTCAGGTACCGGTCCCGCCAAGGGATGGGTCACGGTGAATCTAAAGGGCAAGGACCTTTTGGTACAGCTTGAGAAAGAGCTGGCTGAGTCCACCAGTGAGGGCGAGATCCAGGTGGAAGCAAGCAGCGAGTCAGACGTGGCCAGCCCGACCGGCAAGGTGAACGAGAAGGAGCCCTCGAATGACGAGAAGGAGGCCCTGAAGCAGTACCTGGACAAGTTCGGTGAGAACAGGACAGGCTCCAACCCTGGCTTCAACCGCAAAGCCTTCCCCTGGGCAGTGAACCACGCAGCAAAGCGCACCACCCCAAAGGAAGCTATCGAGGCGGCTCTCATGGCGCCGAAGCCGAAGAAGGAGCGCAAGTCTGCACCAACGGATGTGGATTCCGAAGGCGAAGAGGTGCCATTGTGCTGCAGGTGCCTGATGCCGGTTGGGGAGTTTGCCTATGAGGGTCGCGAAGGCCGTGGCAGCTGTGTCCATGCAGAGTGCATGGCACAAGTCCTAGTGGACGATGCCCAGAGGCAGGAGGACCGACGCATGGGCTGGGAGGCGGAGAAGAAGCTGAAGAGCCGCAAGGAGTACGAGATCGGTTGGGTCATGGACAGCGTTCCCAAGAACACAACCTGGGCTGAGCGCATGGGTTGCAGCGCCACTCCTCAGGGTTTGTGCTGCCTCGTGTTCGATGAGGTGACCCGGACTGTGAAGGTTGCACCAACTTTGGAGCCTGCTGCCGCAGTGAACTTGGAGTACCTGCTGTTGGCTTTGAAGGTGCGGAAGACAGCCTCCCGCGAGCCGTTGTTCTCCCTTGACCCGGTCGACCCACAGAACCTGGAGAAAACTCCGCAGAAGAAGGTGTATGAACCCAGCTGGCTCGCCGGCACGAGCGTGGGTGACGTCATGTTCCAAGCCGACTACTTCTTGAAGGAGCTTGCGCTCGGCGAGTACGAGATGCCTGTTTCCGGCATGCTGAGCGTCTTTGATTGGTCCGAGCTTTCCGACAAGGACCGTGCTCTTACAAGGTTTAAGGCTCAAGGCTACGGCTAAGATAGCGCTGAGAGAGTGCTGAGAGGCTACGTAGGGTTTATACTTCGGCCTTGTGCTGTGGTGCTCCATGATGCTCTGCAGGACAAAGCCTGGGCGGGGCGAGAGTGGTACGTGGTGAAGAAGGCCGAGGTGAGGTTAGCGCAGGACAAGACCCTGGTCCCTTTCGTGAAGATGGGTGTGGAAGCCCGCGAGCAAGTTGTTACCAAGAAGGGCCTGGAAGATGCGGCGGTCACGGCTTCCACGCATCCTCTGAAGAAGTTCGCGGACGCCTTCACTCGCAACTTCGACTTGATTGCGGAGCGCAAGAGCGTAGTGTACCATGTCCGGGAGTTGGCGAAGGCGTCCGTGCTGGCTAAATACTTGGTCGACTCTCACACGCGCCTGGATCCATCTTGGTACCGGCTCGCCGACGAGATTGTGAAGTCCACGCCGAAGGAAGCACATCCAGAGATCCCGCAGCTGTGGAACATGCGTGGCAACTCCCGCATTCAGCTGAAGAATGGCCGGCTCATTGATATGTTCACTGGTGGCCAGCGCAATCTGCAGGCCATCTACGGTGGTGTGGAGTTCGGGCTCGACCGCTTTGAGCTGGCCCAGCGCCATGCCCTCCAGGGCCAGACGGGTATGCAATTGGGGCAGTCGGGCCGACCCATGTTCATGCCCCAGCGATTCCAGCTCGGACAGCGGGCAGAGATGCCGCAGGGTGTGGATCTGAATTTGGACAAGTTCGACTTGACCAAGCCAGAGCGCTTCGCTGGCAGTTTGCCTCCATGCAGTGGTGGTCCAGATTCCTTGGAAGCCAAGGTGACCTTGGGACGGGCCTTCTTGAGAAGCTTGCGAGAACAGGACTTCGACGACTTGAAGACAGAGTACAAGGAGCTGTTGGTCAAGGTCTTCGGCTCCCCGCAGTGCGACCGCACAGGGGAGGGTGATTCTTTCATCCCTCCGGATCCCAACATGGAGTACGCCGCCAAGCTCCGTAGCCTCATCCACGAGGAGAAGTCCCTGCTGGAGCGCCGCAAGCTGCACTTCTTCGACCGCAGCTTCAAGGCAGGCAACCCGGGTACAGACTTCCCGCGCTCTTGGACATCGCGGTTCCAGATCGAGAAGGATGGCGTGGCCCCCAAGTTCGAGGTCTCCAACAAGTCTGGCTTGAGCAAGGTTGAGTTCGACGACAGCTTCCGCAAAGTCTTGGTCTCCGACATTCTGCCGACGGCAGCACCTGAGTTCAAGCAGATCACGGAGGATGGCACTGTGTTCCGCATCTACCACATCGGCAGCCTCGAGGTGCGTACCACGGAAGAGAAGTTCGGCAAGGAGCAGGTGGGTGTCCTGTTCTCGACCTCTGCACCTACCTGGAATCTGGCATCTAAAGACAGGTCCCAGAGCATCTCTGACGGCGAGAAGATTCAGAATTGCAAGGTCTACTTGGAAGCTGCCGAGGGTGAGGCACATGCTAGCAAGCAGCCACACCATTTCTACATGGTTTGCCAAACGGCAAGCAAGAACTTAATCGTCACCGAAAAGCTTGCCACTGGAGCCACCACATGTGTCGTGAATCCTGCCAACTTGGAAGATCGGAACTCGCTGGCAAAGCTGCTCTTCACTTCCGATTGC